ACAACAATTTCTAGAGTTTATAGAGAATGGTGTGAAAAACACAAAACATTTAGTAATCAGCAGTTCTGTGGCGAAAAAGCCTTGATAATGAGAGAGGTCAGAGGAGAATGGCCAGACTTGTTCAGGCTGACAGGGAGACAATAGTAACTTAAATTACCACGTGTTACAACAGTGGTATGCAGAATAGCATCTCAGAACGCACAACACGACGAACCTTGAAGTGGATTGGGCGAACTGCAGAAGACCATACAGAGTTCCATTCCTCTCACTTGAAAACAGGAAACTTATGTTACAGTTGGCACAGACTTATCAAAGCTGGCGAGATGAAGATTGGATAAACGTTGCCTCGTCTGACGAACTATTTTTTCTGATGTGACTTACAGATGGTTATAAATAATTTCGCGCATTTGTGAATTATTAAGCATTCCAAAATCTTTCTCGTAGTTCACTGCATGTGACAGTATCTGATGAAATAACTTTGCACAATCCTGGTGTTCCAAGGTGTGAAAGTGAACCTCTAGCTATGGCAAGGCACCCATATTTATCTGGATTCTGGCTGAGTGGATATTGTACTGCATACTTTGATGCAGGGTGTGCAGGGTCGAATCCTACTGTGAACTGAGAGAGAAATATATATATATATATATATATATATATATATAAAATGTCGTGCCGAATATGTAAAATTGGTCAATTAGCAAGAACTCATTTAAAATTAAGTCCTTTCTAAAAATTTCTCTTATACGTTTAATGATACATTTTTTTCATTAATGTTAATGTAGAAATTTTGAATTTTGCACCAAAAGAATCTTACAAAACTTACCTAACCTTATTATAACAAGCTCAATTTATTTTAGCCTAACCCAACTAAATATATTTTCAATACGTTTACAATAATTTAGTACTAAACAAACACAATGAAATATATTTTTTCAGTTAGGTTCAGAATGATTTTTGCGAAATTATTGCATACACAAATTTTAGCTTTTCCTATATGGCAAGATGAGCGTTGCTATTTAAGCCAAGATCGCAAGTTTTACACATTCGGCACGACATTATATATATATATATATATATTATATATATATATATATATATATATATATATATATATACACTGATCTCTGGATGAAGGAGACTCGAACCTACGAACCTTGGAGCAAAGTACGCAGTGCTATACCAAACTCACCACACTGGACAATACCTTGGAGTCCAGCTTGCGCTAGACTTTGACCCAAGGCAGCCAGCTTTCAGGGAGAAGGCTTACAGCTTTTCATCTCATCCCCTGCATGCATCAGCCTTACTAGAGATTTTAACAATGCAAGGAATTCGCAAGAGCAGGCGAAATACACACAAACAATGATCTCTGGCTGAAGGAGACTCGAACCTTGCGAATTCCTTGCATTGTTAAAATCTCTAGTAAGGCTGATGCATGCAGGGGATGAGATGAAAAGCTGTAAGCCTTCTCCATGAAAGCTGGCTGCCTTGGATCAAAGTCTAGCGCAAGCTGGACTCCAAGGTATTGGTCCAGTGTGGGGAGTTTGGTATAGCACTGCGTACCTTGTTCCAAGGTTCGTAGGTTCGAGTCTCCTTCAGCCAGAGATCAGTGTATGTGTATATTTCGCCTGCTCTTGCGAATTCCTTGCATATGTAGAGAGAGAGAGATTTTGGGAGATGTTAAGTGAATGTATAGGAGCCTTTGAACCAAGTGAGAGAGTAATTGTGGTAGGGGACCTGAATGCTAAAGTAGGAGAAACTTTTAGAGAGGGTGTGGTAGGTAAGTTTGGGGTGCCAGGTGTAAATGATAATGGGAGCCCTTTGATTGAACTTTGTATAGAAAGGGGTTTAGTTATAGGTAATACATATTTTAAGAAAAAGAGGATAAATAAGTATACACGATATGATGTAGGGCGAAATGACAGTAGTTTGTTGGATTATGTATTGGTAGATAAAAGACTGTTGAGTAGACTTCAGGATGTACATGTTTATAGAGGGGCCACAGATATATCAGATCACTTTCTAGTTGTAGCTACACTGAGAGTAAAAGGTAGATGGGATACAAGGAGAATAGAAGCATCAGGGAAGAGAGAGGTGAAGGTTTATAAACTAAAAGAGGAGGCAGTTAGGGTAAGATATAAAACAGCTATTGGAGGATAGATGGGCTAATGAGAGCATAGGCAAAGGGGTCGAAGAGGTATGGGGTAGGTTTAAAAATGTAGTGTTAGTGTTCAGCAGAAGTTTGTGGTTACAGGAAAGTGGGTGCATGAGGGAAGAGGAGTGATTGGTGGAATGATGATGTAAAGAGAGTTGTAAGGGAGAAAAAGTTAGCATATGAGAAGTTTTTACAAAGTAGAAGTGATGCAAGGAGGGAAGAGTATATGGAGAAAAAGAGAGAGGTTAAGAGAGTGGTGAAGCAATGTAAAAAGAGAGCAAATGAGAGAGTGGGTGAGATGTTATCAACAAATTTTGTTGAAAATAAGAAAAAGTTTTGGAGTGAGATTAACAAGTTAAGAAAGCCTAGAGAACAAATGGATTTGTCAGTTAAAAATAGGAGAGGAGAGTTATTAAATGGAGAGTTAGAGGTATTGGGAAGATGGAGGGAATATTTTGAGGAATTGTTAAATGTTGATGAAGATAGGGAAGCTGTGGGTTTCGTGTATAGGGCAAGGAGGAATAACATCTTGTAGGAGTGAGGAAGAGCCAGTTGTGAGTGTGGGGGAAGTTCGTGAGGCAGTAGGTAAAATGAAAGGGGGTAAGGCAGCCGGGATTGATGGGATAAAGATAGAAATGTTAAAAGCAGGTGGGGATATAGTTTTGGAGTGGTTGGTGCAATTATTTAATAAATGTATGGAAGAGGGTAAGGTACCTAGGGATTGGCAGAGAGCATGCATAGTTCCTTTGTATAAAGGCAAAGGGGATAAAAGAGAGTGCAAAAATTATAGGGGGATAAGTCTGTTGAGTGTACCTGGTAAAGTGTATGGTAGAGTTATAATTGAAAGAATTAAGAGTAAGACGGAGAATAGGATAGCAGATGAACAAGGAGGCTTTAGGAAAGGTAGGGGGTGTGTGGACCAGGTGTTTACAGTGAAACATATAAGTGAACAGTATTTAGATAAGGCTAAAGAGGTCTTTGTGGCATTTATGGATTTGGAAAAGGCGTATGACAGGGTGGATAGGGGGGCAATGTGGCAGATGTTGCAAGTGTATGGTGTAGGAGGTAGGTTACTGAAAGCAGTGAAGAGTTTTTACGAGGATAGTGAGGCTCAAGTTAGAGTATGTAGGAAAGAGGGAAATTTTTTCCCAGTAAAAGTAGGCCTTAGACAAGGATGTGTGATGTCACCGTGGTTGTTTAATATATTTATAGATGGGGTTGTAAGAGAAGTAAATGCGAGGGTCTTGGCAAGAGGCGTGGAGTTAAAAGATAAAGAATCACACACAAAGTGGGAGTTGTCACAGCTGCTCTTTGCTGATGACACTGTGCTCTTGGGAGATTCTGAAGAGAAGCTGCAGAGATTGGTGGATGAATTTGGTAGGGTGTGCAAAAGAAGAAAATTAAAGGTGAATACAGGAAAGAGTAAGGTTATGAGGATAACAAGAAGATTAGGTGATGAAAGATTGAATATCAGATTGGAGGGAGAGGAGTATGGAGGAGGTGAACGTATTCAGATATTTGGGAGTGGACGTGTCAGCGGATGGGTCTATGAAAGATGAGGTGAATCATAGAATTGATGAGGGAAAAAGAGTGAGTGGTGCACTTAGGAGTCTGTGGAGACAAAGAACTTTGTCCTTGGAGGCAAAGAGGGGAATGTATGAGAGTATAGTTTTACCAACGCTCTTATATGGGTGTGAAGCGTGGGTGATGAATGTTGCAGCGAGGAGAAGGCTGGAGGCAGTGGAGATGTCATGTCTGAGGGCAATGTGTGGTGTGAATATAATGCAGAGAATTCGTAGTTTGGAAGTTAGGAGGAGGTGCGGGATTACCAAAACTGTTGTCCAGAGGGCTGAGGAAGGGTTGTTGAGGTGGTTCGGACATGTAGAGAGAATGGAGCGAAACAGAATGACTTCAAGAGTGTATCAGTCTGTAGTGGAAGGAAGGCGGGGTAGGGGTCGGCCTAGGAAGGGTTGGAGGGAGGGGGTAAAGGAGGTTTTGTGTGCGAGGGGCTTGGACTTCCAGCAGGCATGCGTGAGCGTGTTTGATAGGAGTGAATGGAGACAAATGGTTTTTAATACTTGACGTGCTGTTGGAGTGTGAGCAAAGTAACATTTATGAAGGGATTCAGGGAAACCGGCAGGCCGGACTTGAGTCCTGGAGATGGGAAGTACAGTGCCTGCACTCTGAAGGAGGGGTGTTAATGTTGCAGTTTAAAAACTGTAGTGTAAAGCACCCTTCTGGCAAGACAGTGATGGAGCGAATGATGGTGAAAGTTTTTCTTTTTCGGGCCACCTGCCTTGGTGGGAATCGGCCAGTGTGATAATAAAAAAAAAAATAAAAAAATATATATATATATATATATATATATATATATATTATATATATATATATATATATATTATATATATATATATATATATATATATATCGGTGTGTATACGCCGACGTGCATATATCTCAGTATATATACTGTGTGTATAACTCGGTGATAACACAACGAGAGGTGTATATAATGTATCTCATCGCAAATACACCGAAAATAACAAATATTCACTCAGGAATTTAATATCCTAATTTTAGACATTAAAGTATTTTTTAATTAAAGTGTATGTGTATAATATGCAGCCTTAATTGACCCTCGTGCAGTCGATAGGTTCTGCATCTTGCCTCTGCTGTCTTACTGAGGGTCACTGCCATCATGGCCCGGTCCCAGACCAGACCTCCAGTTCTTAACCTAATCCACCCGGCTGTTGCATACCACTGCCTGTAGACCAACCAATGTGCCACAGCCAGGCTGATCAGGAACTTATTAGACATATTACAGGAATTCTTCTCTTCCTACTGGCAGGTTATGTGCACACTTTCCTCTGATCCAGGGGACAGTGGCTGGACCCAAGTGCTGTATCTCAGTCTTCCTACCATCATCCCCATCGTAATTAACGCAGGAGATGTGATGGGAACGCCAGGGTCAGGAACTTTCTACTTTATAGGTAAGATCATTTTTTTGGGCTTAATCGATTTTGAGAGTGAATCAGAGTTTTATACTGAAATATTTCAGTACAAGGAAGAATAGCTATATATTACCCCACCTAGAAATATTATAAACACAAAATAATACTGTAATAATGATTTTGTAAGGTTACTAATATTATTGATATGACTCAAGAAATCGTAATGACACGATTGCAAACAAACCATACCCCCGGTCGGGATTGAACCCGCGGTCATAGAGTCTCAAAACTCCAGCCCGTCGCGTTAGCCACTAGACCAGCTAGCCACAATAAGATTCGTCCAACTAGGTATATTTCTACACCATAGGAAGGTTAGCACAGGCACCACTGTGACCATAAATGAAAGTTTTTATTGACGAATCTCCAGCTAGCGTGGCCGTGACGAACTCTGTAAAAACTTGCATTTGTGGTCACAGAGGTGCCTGTGCTAACCTTCCTATGGTGTAGAAATATACCTAGTTGGACGAATCTTATTGTGGCTAGCTGGTCTAGTGGCTAACGCGACGGTCTGGAGTTTTGAGACTCTATGACCGCGGGTTCAATCCCGGCCGGGGGTATGGATTATTGATATGTGAAATATTATATGCGAAATTAACAATAACATTGAAAAAACATTTTATATGACAAATTCAGTTAATATTTTTAATCAAATTTTTGCTTTTAATAAAATATATTTTTTATTACTGATATCGTTATCTTTATTATCTACTTAATCATGAAAGTTTACTGATATTGTCAATATTTTTTTTCATTTAATTACTTTAAGTATTTTCCACTATGCGTATATTCATAAACATTTTAGTTTCTCTTAACATGTAAATATTTCACAGTTACTACGCTGCAAAAATTTATGGTACTTTCTGCAATCTCTATAATTTGAAGTTACTACGAATTATATCTATAGATGTTAATTTTGACTACTTGCACTGAGTTGCATTTGTACGTCAGATCATTAATATTGTGTGTGTGTGTGTGTGTGTGTGTGTGTGTGTGTGTGTGTGTGTGCGTGTGGGCGTTTGTTTTTATTCGGCAGGTTTCAATGCCCTGACGAGTTTAAACTGGAATATAACAACACTACAAAACACTTCCCGGCCTCTTGTCTTTCTGGTAAGTGTCTAGTATTTGTCACAACACATCGTCAGTCAGTGCCTAGTGTCAGTAGACACTTAAAGTAAGCAAGTGCTTTGAATAAGTCAGTACCTTGTGTAAATCAATTCCTGGTGTCAGTGTGTAGTGTCAGCAAGTACCTAATGTATGTAAGAGTCCTGTGTTAGTATTTAGTGTTGGTGTATGCCTTAAGTAACCAGTGACCGACTGGTTGACCTCTCTGAGGTTATAATTAATTAAAGTTGGATACAGTTGTGGTCTTATTCCTTGTAAGTCTAATCACCATTATAGACATGAAACATGTTGTCACCTTTAAGTAGGTAACATCTATCGTGCTACCTCCTTAGGGACTAATTGCTGCCTTCACTTTTGTAAGGATATATGCTACTTACATACATCGATGTATGTATTGCATACGATGTATGCAATACGGGACTCCTTATACATACCGTCGCGTGTTAGTAAGTCAAACTACTTTCATAGAGGGTGAGCTTAGATCTAAAAGCAACTCAGTTTACTAATATGGGGAAAGATCACACTATTATTTACTAAACAAATCATCAATCAGTTGGACATACATCTCAATTTAATATAAACACTAGGAAAACTACACATTTAAAGGACAGGCCTGATGTATTTACATTGTGTCCTGATGCTTCACTACGGCCATTACGCGCATTGTATATGACGCAACTGGTCACAATGTACTTGAATAATTCTAAATCCGACAATGAAAGCAGATACGTGAATGAATTGTTTTATACAGCAATTCAGACCTTGTTTCTTGTGCTTAACCCAATGAGAAGTCGTCTCCAGCCTCCACCCTTCTGTTGGCGAATCATAATCACGCTGACCTCATTTAAGAGAGATGTGTCCCCTCAAACCATAAATAGTTTGTTTCTGATCTCACATCACTTGACCTGATCCCACATCACGAAAGACGATAGTCTGGAAAAACTCTGATTGCATATGTCTTGATAGGTACAACCTGTCATTACAAACTGTCTATCAAATACACAGAAACTACAGAAAATCACATCTTGTATGGTACATCCAGGCCGGGTAGTCAGGTGCTGAGAGTAGAAGCTGAGAAACACTGCAACAGACCTGAAGACCCAAGCTAGTGTTATTTCTTTAGCTTAATAAAATGGAGCGATAGGTGTAGACAAAATTAACATATTTTTATTTTATTTAATTGTGTTAGCGAGCTTAATAGAAAATTATGCACTACATCTGCGTTGATCTTAGTCATGTTTCATTATATAAAAATTGCAATGTGAAAAAAATCATTGAATTAGGGGAGATATGACTGAAATATTCTAATAGAAGACTGGAATAAAAACCAGGGAATGTAAAAAACGTGCTGAAAATATTTAACCAAGACAGGACTCTCAGCAGTGGGTTCAAGATGGGAAAGTTTAGGTTTAGAAAGGAAATAGGAAAGCATTTGTTTGAGAACAGAGTTGAGGATGAGTGGCACAAACTCCCGAGTAACGTCGTCAAAGCGAGAGTCTTTGGCAGCTTTAAAAATATGTTGGATTACTAAATAAGTGTGAATAATTATGTAATTATGTGGGAATAATTACTTCCTGCGCAGTAGGCTTCTTCAGTTGAATACTGAGGAGACAGCAGAAGAGGTGGAGATATAATGATGTGATCATTTCATCACCCTCGAAGAACTAGTTTTAAAGTGTCCGGTCCCTCAGCCAGGAGAAGAGTTCAGCTCTATATGCCGGAAGAATGTAAAGCTAAAGAATTGAATGGCAACTTATATACGGGCAAAGGTGAGGCGTGGAAATTCTTGAAAATCTGATGAAATAACTTTGCTTCTACTAATGCGTCTCGCCTCTTAGGCGGGACCCATTAGTAGAAGCAAGAACATGGCTTCTGAATTCTTACGTTCTTTCTTCTACTAGTGGCCCCCGCCTCTTGTGTCGTCTTCAAGAATTCCTGAGCCTCACATTTCGCAGTATATAAATTTCTTTTCCCATGCTTCAGTTCACACATACATATACACCTGAGTACCACTTCACAATACTGACTCACATAGTCTTACCTCTCACTTTCACCAGGATGTAAGCGCACGGTGTGCACATTCGTTTACTTCGTGAGGATACCTTTGTAAACACGAAGCATGATCTGTCTTTTCTACTGAAGGACACCCTTGGCGTCCGTTTCAGTAACTTGATCACGATCAAGGACTCCTTCGTCGCTGACCGCTTCAGTGACGAAAACACAGACAAGATAGTAACCGCCACCACCACCCAGACTCTCAAAAGAAACCATTCTGATGTCTTCTGGCCAAGAAGTTAATCTTTATAGAGACTTGACCTTGAAATTACCAGCCTTTCTCCTGACGACCTCTGAAAATTTGTTGAGGAATAAAACTCCTGGGTTAGATGTTAGACTCCTACTGCCTCCATGACACTAAAACTCAGAATCACGGACATCTCCATGGCCACTACTGTCATCAGCAATGAACTATACATCTCCCAATACTATATCAAGACATGCAACATCGAGCCTGAACGCTACTATCAGAACACTTTATGCAGAACCTACTTCTCCTTATCCCACCTCACCAAGGTTTGCCTCTTCAATAATAAGACGTTGAGTTCCACCTGCATTGCTGACGGCCAAACACGTTCTGACTGTTCCAAGACTGATCAGTTTAGGTGCATAAACTGTATGGACACTGATGTACTAATTCCTGAAGCAACTAAGCCCGCTACCATCTCTGCCGTCTCTTCACCCACTATTGGCTCTTCAGTCAGAGGACTACAGACCACCACGTCTGTCTCCCCTGCATCTGCTATTGACACTTCAATCCCAGAAACACAAGCAGCTATTTTTCTCACCAAAATTGCTGACGCTTTCGCCAGTTGTTACATACTAGTAAAAAGGAAATAAAGCTGTCATCGCTAGCCTAGAAACATAAAACCTGACGACCACGTCCCCGAACTTGATTGGAAAACCTGTGCTTCTAAACCACATCCTCATATAGTAGCATCATGTCCTTCAAGGAACTATAGACAAAAATTATGCAACCGTACAGTAAAATTCGCCTGCGGCTCTCCCTACATCTCAACTAAGTACTTGATTTCGTTAAAAGGCACATCAACGAGAACGACATTCCCTCAGACTTGTACCACTTACCCAAAGGAGCCTTCAGAAGACTCAAGAACGGATCGTCAGTCATTAATCCACTATAAATTTCCAGATTAATACTTCACTGCCTGTTGTAACACCCTCCCGAACTCCAGCGCCTGCCTATCGTTGCCATCACTGGCTACCTATTCCACTGCTGCCCTCGTTCGGTACTGTTTCTACTCCTGAAGACACTCCTCTCCTGTGCTATTTGTTGTCTGTTCCCACTTACTCTTTCTCTCTTTGTCTAAGAGTCTGTCTTTAGCTTTACATTGTTGCAGACTATGGCACTGAGCTCTTCTCTAAGCTGAGGTACAGTACTACGAGGGTGATGGACTGATCGCATCATTACATCTCCACTGCTTCTGCTGTCTCATCTGCGTTTAACTGATGATGCCTAATGTGCACGGAAAACGTTTCAATAATGTTACACGTGTCTTATCCACATGAGTGGGTGTAGGGTAGGTGTGAGTTGGACCTCCTTTCTCATGTTCTGATATTCTTATACAGTGAGTTAAAAGTGGGTGTTACTGTCTCAGACACGAGTTTTATGTTGTCGACCCTAGAGGCATATTTGTTTTTGTACTCGCATTAGAAGACTTCTTTTCATGACTTCGTTTGATTTTCATAGGATGGAGGAAACTGTGTTGGCGATGGTTTCGTTGGCCATAATGTATATACCGTTCATGTTTCGAGTAGAAGCCATGTTGTGTATTATAATGAAGTATTATATGGAGAAGATACTGAAGACCGAGAAAAGTATTTTCCATGTTGTCTTGTGTATCACTGACGGAACATACAGACAAGAATGAGATAAGACCCTGTGGTTTATGTTATAGCAACTTCGTATCCAGTGTGAATAATTTTAACCAATGTTTCTGACATTATGAATTAACCTGATTTCTGTGTGATAGTGTTGTGGTAATCAGAGCAGATTCCAAGCACAGCCTACCGCGCCTGTCTACTTCTTTCTTGATGACTAATTTGATATCTGGGAAATGTATCAGTTGGTTTTCTGTGACGCAGAATAAGCATTATTCACGTAATCCATCTGGCATGAGCTCAGAAATGCCTGCCAACTCATTCATTCTGAACCACTTCATTTTCTCATAATTCATATTCCTCTTACTAACGCATTATGGCACTGGAAGAGTACGTTACATTTTATTCAACGAATGTCACACACCCATTTCGGCATACCCTCTCGACCAGTGAACTATCACTTAAGATTATGACAGGCTGGGGTCCCACTGTTATGCTAACTGCTGGTTCAGCAGCCAATCGCGTGAATTCTGCTAAGTGATGTCTGGAACGCATGGAACAGAACTGGCAGGTTTCCACCACCTCTGGTCGAATACACTGTGCTCAGAGTGTCTCTTGCTTGTGCTCTACCATTTGTCACTTACTCTCTGTACATAGTGTAGATATTTATAAATATTTGTGGTGAAGAAACACACGATTAAGAAATTTATTTCTACTGGTTTGCTTTTACCCTGCGCTGCCTAGCTGATATTTTCTGGATTTAATTACTATAAGGTGCAACAGACCCATCAGACTACCGCCTGTATTCGTAATACACAATACTAAAGTGACCCCCTAATTAAAAAAAAATACAAAAACACCACACAATAATACTAATAAAAATTTTAGAAAAATACGCAATGGTTATGATAGCCAAGTTAATTAACTCATCTTAAAACTATATTACTAGATTTTTGGTAGTCCAATTTCTTAGATAAATACGGTTTGTTTAATGATAAACATATAGCAATGGCACCATTTCCATTTGTAAGGATGTTACCTCAGTGGCAGAGTCTTGAAGTCTTGAGTCTGTCCACACTTGCTGGCCTCTCCTCTGTAAATCTAGCCAGGATTATATACATGAAACACACAACGTTGTCACCTACCGTGTCAACCAAGAATCTAATTGTTACCATCATCCATATGAAGCTTTGTTCTACTGAAACACATGTATCTACCGTATTTTCCGGCATATAAGGCGCGCCTTTTTCCCCACAAAAGACTTAGAAATATCATGCGCCATATATGCTCAAGGTCAGGGTCAAGGGTAGGCTTTGAGTTACTCTTTAACGTAAATATGAATGATTACTGATTTACCATTATGATCCTTCTGTCGTGCGCCTTATATGCCGGAAAACATGGTACATATTTCGGCAATACGTGGTACCTTAAATAAGAAGCAACTTCCACATCACTCAGTTCAATATTATGACTAAGGTAAAGACAGATATCTAGTGTCATTATTTACCAAACATATCACCAATCACAGAAACATACATTTAATAATACTGAACCCGACACTAAGGTGGATCCTTAGAAAAAGCAAGAAATAGCACCTTGTAAAGGCATTTGATAGACTGGCCTGGGGCTACTCACACTGAGTCTTGATGTTTCAGAAAAAACACGAAAGAGCACCTTGTTCTATAATACAGCAAGCATTTGATACACTGGCTACTTACACTGAGTCTTGACGTTTCACTATATTATATTATAAATAGTATACGGTAACACGAGCTGATAATACGCATAACACTAGTAAGCTTTACTTTATTGATGAATAACGATTCCTAATGATGTACATGCGTCTTATCACGGTTCACCATCGCTATGGCTACCAAGGTACAATGAACCAACAAATTAGGTAATATATATATATATATATATATATATATATTATATATATATATATATATATATATATATATATATATTATATATATATATGCAAAACAACCACTGTGAAAGAATAGAGAAATTCCAAGCACTTTCGTGACTGCTCACATTATCAAGGAACTTGAGTAGTCACGAAAGCGCTTGGAATTTCTCTATTCTTTCACAGTGGTTGTTTTGCATATTCTGAAATCACCTGTTTACTGTGATCTTATTGTATATATGCATATATATATTATATATATATATATATATATATATATATATATATATATTATATATTATATATATTATATATATATATATATATTCATGACAGTGAAAAAAAAGAAGCGAAAATTCATGCGCTTTTCTTTTCATTCACAATCTAAAGACAATCATAACTAACTCGTTTTAGAGAGATTTGTTTACATGAAGTTTCTGTCCAGCTGAACAATCCTAGAATGTTGCTGTTCTTGAGAAAGTTATTAAAAACATCACAGGTGTTTTAATTTGCTACCCATTCACTTCATTGAAATTGCATATTAAGATAACACTTGTTTTATCGTGATTTTGATGTTTTTTCATGTGTACGTGAAAGAAACTGAAGTGAAAAAATTAACCGAAAAGCAGCACATCAGAGCTTTCGTGATGGCACATGGTTGACACACGAAAGCGTTAATGTGTGTGTGTGTTCTTTTTATGATAACACATCTTCCTCTGAAGATGTTCATGTAGATACACGAAAGCGTTTATGTATGAGTTTGTTCTGAGAAGAAAAGCGGTGGCTAACGTGACGGTCTGGAGTTTTGAGACTCTCTGATCGCGGGTTCTATCCCCGCCCGTGGTATGGATTGTTTGCAGAGAAAGATTTCATTGCGACAACAATACATTCAGCAGCTCTCCTGTACTCACCTACCACCACTTAACCTTCTACGAGTGCACATGTTAACTGTTACCTCAGACCTGATCAGTTCCTACACAGGAAAGAATATTGTCCCAATAAACACTTGCTCTGTAATTTTTGTCTTTATCTTCATACATAGTTTATTCTATTGCTGTTTGGGGATTCTTTTTTTTTTCACTGTGGTATTTATTCAAGTACGTAATAATATTTCTGATACTGATTTCTTCCTTCTTGTAAACATATACTAATTTCTCCTCACCTGCCTGAGTCAGGTGGAACTCGTTAAAGCAGATGGAACTACTTTGTACGCCACGTACAACGCGGTTGTCATCGCCAGGGATAACTACTACACCCTCCAGAATGTGGGCGATTATCACGGCAACGCAGGTGACTCATTTTCCGTTTAAATTTATCATTATTTGCTTTATTTGCTAATGCATTTATGTTGCATAGAGACGTTTTTCTGTTAAGTGAAATTCGTATGAAAAATAAACGTATTTAACAAAATATGAAGTAAATATGAATTTATATTTAAATGAATTCCTCCATTAAAAGAAACAGTAACTCTTCCAGGAGATAAGACACACAATGCGGATTATGGTTCGATTGTTGGCGCACTGATTTCACTTACTGAGGTCCGGGGTTCGATCCCAGTATGGCTGGAAAACATTAGGACGTGTTTCCATAAGACACCTGCTGTCCATGTTCACTCATCAATATAAAATGGGTACCTGGGTGTTAGTGGGATGGAGAGAGGCACTGAGGTGAAAGGAGGAGGTCATTAATTACAGACTATCGGCGTTTTCTTGGTATTTACTAATATAATCACTTGATGAGCTTCCCTGAAGTAAGAGTAGATAATGAACAAGCAGACCGAGGCAACAGACTGTACACAAATAACCTGCACATAGGAGAGAGAAAAGCTTATGACGACGTTTCTGTCCGTCTTGGACCGCAACGTCGTCATAAGCTTTTATCTCTCCTATGTTCGGGTTATTTATGTATTGTTCCAGTCGCTGTATTGTGCCTTTTTCTCCTTCACCAGAATGTGTCTGGAATCAAGTGTAAACACTACCGTCAATACTATTTTACAAAACTCTGGGGTCCTTCTTGACCTTCAGAGTTGTAGCGAAAATTATTCTACCTAAAACCGAAAGCAGTGTAATGTGATCTTTTATTGATTACTTCATCGTTATCCTACATGTACAACATAGTCGCCAGTCACGAGTAAGTCCGTCTTAAATCCAACCTACCCAACATTCTCCATCTGACTCTCTGCCATATATATATTCTCATGTACTCTTTGCCCGGGTATATCTGTTTGTGATTTGATAAAGTCCATTGTGTGGGCGAAACGTAGTCATTAAATGACTGCATTACACTGCATTTGTGTTTATTTTCCCATCAATTCGGTAATTTATGCCATTTATTTCCACCTAAAACCGAATTATCTCATTCACTCGCAGGTGACTTCCCTTCCCCGCAGACTGTGCCGAGCTCTCCGTGTACCTCACAGACCTCTCCTCACCTAACAGTTACCATTGTTTTGCTTGTCTCTGAATGACTTGATAAAATTTCTGGCCAGCGAAACGACATAACAAAATGCCATAATTAAAATGCTAGGAAACCTCAAAAAAATTATATATATATTATATATATATATATATATATATATATATATATTATATATATTATATATATATATATATATATATATATTATATATATATATATATATATATAATGTCGTGCCGAATATGTAAAACTGATCAATTAGCAAGAACTCATTTAAAATTAATTTCTTTCTGAAATTTTCTTTTATACGTTTAAAGATATATTTTTTCATTAATGTTAATGTAAAAATTTATAATTTTGCACCAAAAGAATCTTGAGAAAACTTACCTAACCTTATTATAACAAGAGCAATTTATTTTAGCCTAACCTAACTAAATATATTTTAGATTTGTTTACAATAATTTATTATTAAACAAACACAGTGGAATATATTTTTTTCGTTAGGTTCAGAATGATTTTGGCGAAATTATTACATACACAAATTTTCGCTTGTCTTATATGGCAAGATGAGCGTTGCTATTTAAGCCAAGATCGCAAGTTCTACCTATTCGGCACGACATATATATATATATATATATATATATATATATATATATATATATATATATATATATATATATATATATATATAATGAGAATAATGCGATACATGAAGGTTTATCATTTTTTTGGGGGGGGGGGATTTTGTTCAGTTTTTCCTTCAAACGCAAATTAGAGAAGTTTGATCCACAATTATAATAATTTGAGTTTTGATAATACATATTGTGTATATATTACTTTTTCTTGTATATACGGGATACTTTGATACTGGTGAAGGTCTCTTGATCCAAGGAATTAAATCACTCTTCCACTCTGATAAAACTTGATTGCCACACGCAAATATTATTTTCCAGGCGCTGTATGACCATAACTGGTTAAGTACTTTCTCTGAATATAATAATATCAATAATAAATAATCGTTGATTGTGTGTATTTCAGGGGACATGCTTCGACATAGCAAACTGCATGGCATAGCGGGCAGTAGTTCTTTGCTGTGGTCCTGCGACAGTCCCCAAACCTGTGTGAGTCTCCTTCCTGTTCTCCCTCACTTGGAATGAACCTGAATGCCTCTCATTTTCTCAGGCGCTGTATGATCCCTATAACTCTCTCGCAATACAGTAATAATAATAACTAATAATAACATTTCGGTTGCTGCTCTTTCCGAGGAAGGTATCACCTTCTTGTGTTCAGTGATCCTCCTTGATAGCGCTCGGCCTGTCTGTCCTATGTATACTTGGTTGTAATCTCTGCATGGTATCTGGAAGACTCTTGGTGTGTCTTGTGTAACTTGATGCTTGTGTTTTTTGAAAGAGAGATTCCCGAATATGTTACGATAAAAGTGGTTATGTAGGTCACTTTGCTGAGTCTATTGACTGTTCCTTAGTGGTAGGGTACCATGAGTTGGGATTCATGGATGAAATTGAGTTTTTGTGAGCTGAGGTTTTGTAATAGTTGATATTTGCTTTCTTTTCAGATCATTTCATTTTTATGACTTTGTCTCAATGTGGGTTATTATTGAATATTGACAAGTGCTCATTACACATTACACTTTCATTAGTTATTCACACACACACACACACACACACACACACACACACACACACACACACACACACACACACACACACATCTATCCCAGCTGTTTTACCCTCTTTCATTATGCACATTGATTCACATACTTCCTCCCCCCCCCATCACACTCATTCATATCACATACACTTTGACAAAGGTAAGGAGATTTTTGTTGCATTTATGGATCCAGAAAAGACATGACAAGGTGAATAGGAGAGCAATGTTGCACATGATGTACATGTATGGAATAGGTGGTAGGTTATTAATAGCATTAAAGAGTTTTTATGTAGATAGCAAGGCTCAAATTGGGAGTTGTCACGATTGAGTTTTGCCGATGACCAGGTTTTGTGGGGATTCTAAAGAGAGGTTGCAAGTATGTATCTGCTGAAGAGAATCCCAGAATGGGATGAACATATACAGATCAATTAATCTACTGAGATTTTCTATCTATGTGGGTTATTATTGAACACTGACAAGTGTTCATTATACCTTAGTTATATTTAGTTTAATATACTTAATATCTGCAGTTGCTGTGTATGCTGACTTATGAGGGTCAAACTTTTTATCAAAATACTTCTTTATTGTTGATTATTTAACATGTAAGGCATAACCATTATTACATATCAAAGCTAATGTAATTGAAAGAAAATAAAAATCCTCGATGAATTAGAGTTTTAATGATGTTAAATTTAAACAGATTTGGATCAAAACATAAATAGTTTAAACCTAAATCAGTGAATGTTAGTCTTCAGTTCTCAGAAGTCTCAGAATTAGTAACTGTGTTGTGTTTACGATATCTATAAACGGAAGAACATTATTTTTTAGTCCTCTACAGTGAATTTAATGAGAATTAGTAACTGTGTTGTGATTACGATATCTATAAACGGAAGAACATTATTTTTTAGTCCTCTACAGTGAATTTAATGAGAATTAGTAACTGTGTTGTGATTACGATATCTATAAACGGAAAAAAGAACATTATTTTTTAGTCCTCTACAGTGAATTTAATGAGAATTAGTAACTGTGTTGTGACTACGATATCTATCAACGGAAGAACATTATTTTTTAGTCCTCTACAGTGAATTTAATGTTTTTGTCTTCAGAATTTAAATAATCTTTAAACTTATAATGATTTTCTTTTCTTTTTTAAATAACAAGTGTCACTAATAAAATGTCTTTAAAATACAGGTTTAAATTCAGATGGATAATTATTCAGTCAAGTAGTTTCAGGTAAATAGCAAGTGGGGAACCCATTGGCAAGGGTAGGTCCAAGTGGGGAGCCCATTGACAAGGGTAGGTCCAAGTGGGGAGCCCATTGGCAAGGGTAGGTCCAAGTGGGGAACCCATTGGCAAGGGTAGGTCCAAGTGGGGAACCCATTGGCAAGGGTAGGTCCAAGTGGGGAACCCATTGGCAAGGGTAGGTCCAAGTGGGGAACCCATTGGCAAAAGGGGAGTCCAAGTGGGGGGAACCATTGGCAAGGGTAGGTCCAAGTGGGGAACCCATTGGGAAAAGGGGAGGTCCAAGTGGGGAACCCATTGGCAAGGGTAGGTCCAAGTGGGGAACCCCTTTGACAAGGGTAAGTCCAAGTGGGGAACCCATTGACAAGGGTAGGTCCAAGTGGGAACCCATTGGCAAGGGTAGGTCCAAGTGGGGAACCCATTGGCAAGGGTAGATCCAAGTGGGGAACCCATTGGCAAGGGTAGATCCAAGTGGGGAACCCATTGACAAGGGTAGGTCCAAGGGGGGGGAACCCATGGCAAGGGTGGGGCCCAAGTGGGGGAACCCATTGACAAGGGTAAGTCCAAGTGGGGAAACCCATTGACAAGGGTTTAGGTCCAAGTGGGGAACCCATTGACAAGGGTTTAAGCCCAAGGGGGGAAACCCCATTGACAAGGGTAGGTCCAAGTGGGGAACCATTGGCAAGGGTAGATCCAAGTGGGGAAACCCATTGGCAAGGGTGGGTCCAAGTGGGGAAACCCATTGGCAAGGGTTAGGTCCAAGTGGGGAACCCATTGGACAAGGGTAAGTCCAAGTGGGGAACCCATTGACAGGGTAAGCCCAAGTGGGGAACCCATTGGCAAGGGTAGGTCCAAGTGGGAACCCATTGGCAAGGGTAGGGTCCAAGTGGGGAAACCCATTGGCAAGGGTAGAATCAAGTGGGGAAACCCATTGGCAAGGTTAGATCCAAGTGGGGAACCCATTGACAAGGGTAGGTCCAAGTGGGGAACCCATTGGCAAGGGTAGGTCCAAGTGGGGAACCCATTGACAAGGGTAAGTTCAAGTGGGGAACCCATTGACAAGGGTAGGTCCAAGTGGGGAAAACCATTGACAAGGGTAAGCCCAAGTGGGGAACCCATTGACAAGGGTAGGTCCAAGTGGGAACCCATTGGCAAGGGTAGATTTTTCCAAGTGGGGAACCCTTTTGAAAGGGTAGGTCCAAGTGGGGAACCCATTGGCAAGGGTAGGTCCAAGTGGGGAACCCATTGACAAGGGTTTAAGTCCAAGTGGGGAACCATTGACAAGGGTAAGTCCAAGTGGGGAAAACCCATTGACAAGGGTAGGCCCAAAGTGGGGAACCATTGACAAGGGTAAGTCCAAGGGGGGGGAACCCATTGACAAGGGTTAAAGTCCAAGTGGGGAACCCATTGACAAGGGTAGGTCCAAGTGAGGAACCCATTGGCAAGGGTAGGGTCCAAGTGGGGAACCCATTGGCAAGGGTAGGCCAAGTGGGGAAACCCATTGGCAAGGGTAGGTCCAAGTGGGGAACCCATTGGCAAGGGTAGGTCCAAGTGGGGAAAACCATTGGAAAGGGTAGGTCCAAGTGGGGAACCCATTGGCAAGGGTAGGTCCAAGTGGGGAAAACCATTGGAAAGGGGTTTGGTCCAAGTGGGGAACCCATTGGCAAGGGTAGGTCCAAGTGGGGAACCCTTGACAGGGTAGGCCCAAAATTTGGGGAACCCATTGACAAGGGTAGGTCTAAGTGGGGAAACCCCAGTGGCAAGGGTAGGTCCAAGTGGGGAACCCATTGGCAAGGGTAGGTCCAAGTGGGGAACCCATTGGCAGGGTAGGCCCAAGTGGGGAACCCATTGGCAAGGGTAGGCCCATGTGGGAACCTTGACAAGGGTAGGTCCAAGTGGGGGAACCCATTGGCAAGGGTGGGTTTCCAAGTGGGGAACCCATTGGCAAGGGTAGGTCCATGTGGGGAACCCATTGACAAGGGTAGATCCAGGTGGGGAACACATTGGCAAGGGTAGGTCCATGTGGGAACCCACTGACAAAGGTAGGTTCATATGGGGAACCCATTGACAAGGGTAGGTCCAGGTGGGGAAGCCATTAACAAGGGTAGGTCCATATGGGGAACCCATTGGCAAGGGTAGGTCCATGTGGGGAAGCCATTAACAAAGGTAGGTCCAGGTGGGGAACCCAGTGCAGCACCAAACTTATTTTCAACTTCTCCAAAAGAATTCACACACTAAGAGTGAAAACAGATGCGTCCTATGACATTGATTTGGGATTGTCAGTGACGTAACTTAAATTTGTTGAGGTTCGAGAGCCTGTGTCATACGTTTAAGAATTTTGAAATTAATGACAATTAAAATTTGGGGTGGGCTTCTCTTGTTAAAAATGCTACCTAAATATCTGTAACCTATGTTTGTGTTTAATAAATTTCAAGTTCCTAATAGCTGCATCTCTTATGATATTATTGTTATAAAAGATCCAAGGGTAAAGGGGTAGTAATGATTGAAAAATGTGAGTATATACGTAAAATGGAAAAGTTATTATTAGATTACACTAAGTTTAGATCAATTTCCCTTTTATCTCTTTAAATATAACTTGAAATTAAAGAAAATTTGAAATAAGAAGCTCTTATCCGAAAAATTTTTTTCTCTGGATTTGTTTATTGATATTATTCGGTTTACTTAAAGTACACAAATTACCTGTCAGATGAGGGCGTATATTATCCTGTATTAACTTGCAATACCTTACATTTGGTTTCACCCGTTGCAACCTTTTAAAAGATAAACTCAATACATTAAGTACTTGAACTTTGGATCTCCTGTTTTAATATAGCCTCTTTTTACCATTACAACTTAATTATTTTTCAATTCTGAATTAGTAGGGGACCCTTTTTGAAAAAATTTTCTGTTCACGGTTTTCTCTCTTCATGCTCAGTGATAAACTTATGAGAAAAAATGATATTGTTGCAATGGGTTCTTCTCTTGGACCTTCCCCTTTCAGTGCATTGTTTTGTTTTCAGAAAAATACTTTGGGTTAATAATTGCCATATTGAATTTTAATCTGCATTTTAATGCCGTCATGGGCTTTACCCTCGCCGCTGCCATAGTCTCACCCACTTACTTCCGTGACCCTTTTTTTCATTACCTCACCCCCCTTACCTTAAAATTATCAATGACTTTCTTCATTACTGACTTAACCTCACCCACTTAGCTTCATCAGTGCCCCTTTCCTTTACCACTGACCTTACCCTTTACCACTGACCTTACCCTCACCCACTGACCTTACCCTCACCACTGACCTTACCTTCACTCACTGACCTTACCCTCACCCACTGACCTTACCCTCACGCACTGACCTTACCCTCACCACTGACCTTACCCTCACCCTGACCTTACCCTCACCCACTGCCTTACCCCCACCCCCCTGACCTTACCCTCACCCACTGACCTTACCCCCACCTACTGACTTTACTCTCTCACTGCCTTACCCTCACCCACTGACCTTACCTTCACTCACTGGGCCTTACCCCCTCACGCACTGACCTTACCCTCACCCCCTGACCTTACCCTCACCCACTGACCTTACCCCCACTCACTGACCTTACACCTTTACCCACTGACCTTACCCTCAACCACTGAGCTTACCCTCACCCACTGACCTTTCCCTCACCACTGACCTTCCCTCACTCACTGACCTTACCCTCACCCCCTGAAATTAAACCCCACAAACTGACTTTACTCTCGCTATTAAGTTACCCTCTCACCATTGATCTTATCCTAACTCTGACCTTACCTAAACGTTGCAGGAAAAAGTTTGTGGTTCAGTGGCTAACTGGGGTTCTCTCTCCTTCGTCCAAGTTACAATCTCCGTCCGTCCCAGCACTTACGATGCCCGTAAGACTCAAATTTAACTTCTTTTATTAGTCCAAATTTGTTTTGTTTAGTCATGTTAAGTGGTAAACTTACGTGGGTTATTCAGCTGCATGGCTCGATTTCCCTCTGCTGAGCGCGAGACAGACGCACTTCCTATTTGTATTCACTTTTGCCTTGTTAAGCCATAAAAAACGATGGCAAGGGGGGAGGAGGGGAGGATTAGAAGAGGTTAGAACAGTGGAAAATATGTTGATAGACATATAGAGAGAGGGCAAGAAAGATTTAGGGACTAACCACTGTGATGGAATTTTTGAAGTGCGTGGGAGTTCGGGTGACACATTTCTGGAGGAGTAAAATAAACTTTCACTTCTTTTAGAAAGGCCCGATTTTTTTATATGAAGTATATGGAGCTCAAATAGTACAGAATTTACAGTATGAGAAAACTAGCATATACTTAGCTTCTTTTTTTTTTTTTTTTTTTTTTGCAAATTAAATTAGACCATCTCAAATTCAAATAGCAATGAATTATCAAAGAACTTGCTTTGAAAAAAAATATCTCTGAAAATCCTCAGTTTTTGCACTATAAAATGTTAATTTTCGTAGTAAAGGAAAGGGGCTCCACCCCCGCCCCCTGCATTAAATGTTTGTAAAAGGTATTTTTTCATCTCAGATTGTGTTCTAAATTCGCTAAAAAAAAACACAGATTGAATGTACATTTTTTACGGCGGTTAGAACCATTATAGAATATTATTTCGTCACAGCCGAGCCAGAGAGATAATGGTAGAAGAGGTAGTGAGGTGAAGAGGTGAAGTAAGAACGGAACACATGTGAGGTGAAAGAGGGTGAAGTAAGAACAGAGCACATGTGAGGTGAAGAGGTGAAGTAAGAACGGAACACATGTGAGGTGAAGAGGTGAAGTAAGAACGGAACACATGTGAGGTGAAGAGGTGAAGTAAGAACGGAACACATGTGAGGTGAAGAGGTGAAGTAAGAACAGAGCACATGTGAGGTGAAGAGGTGAAGTAAGAACAGAGCACATGTGAGGTGAAGAGGTGAAGTAAGAACAGAGCACATGTGAGGTGAAGAGGTAAAGTAAGAACGGAAGGTAGGTCAAGTGAAAAGGTGAAGAGAAAATAAAAGACAGGTCAGGTAAAGAGGTTTGAAAGGTTTGTATCCACATATACCACAGGAGTATGAATATCCTTCATTTTTCTGAGATTTTCAACCTGGCTGCAACAGAATTCTTCTTCTGGAATGCAATCTGTGTGGCAGTAGTTGGAACAAGTAGGCTTCTTACATCTAAGAAGTATTTTGTCAGGCTCTGATCCACCAGGAGGCCTGGTCACAGACCGGGCCGCGGGGGCGTTGACCCCCGGAACTCTCTCCAGGTAAACTCCAGGTACCTACAAACACTGCAGTAACTAGTGGGACAATAGCCAGATAGCGTCGAAATTCTTGCTATTTTGCGATGTGAAGTCATCACAGAGAAGGCGTTGTAGGTTTACAATAATGTTCACAGGAGAGAGGGGGTGGGTGGTGGTATCTCTCTCTCTCTCTCTCTCTCTCTCTCTCTCTCTCTCTCTCTCTCTCTCTCTCTCTCTCTCTCTCTCTCTCTCTCTCTCTCTCTCTCTCTCTCTCTCTCTCTCTCCATTTCTTTGTCATACGAGGAATCTGTCACCACCTTAATTAAGAATCTTTCACTAAGTAACAGTCAATATACAGTAAGTCACCATGTAACACTGTATACAGTAAGTCACCATGTAACACTATATACAGTAAGTCACCATGTAACACTATATACAGTAAGTTACCAAGTAACACTATATACAGTAAGTTACCAAGTAACACTATATACAGTAAGTCACCATGTAACACTGTATACAGTAAGTCACCATGTAACACTATATACAGTAAGTCACCATGTAACACTATATACAGTAAGTTACCAAGTAACACTATATACAGTAAGTTACCATGTAACACTATATACAGTAAGTCACAAGTAACACTATATACAGTAAGTCACCATGTAACACTATATACAGTAACTTACCAAGTAACACTATATACAGTAAGTTACCATGTAACACTATATACCGTAAGTCACCATGTAACACTATATACAGTAAGTCACCATGTAACACTATATACAGTAAGTCACCAAGTAACACTATATACAGTAAGTCACCATGTAACACTATATACATTAAGTCACCAATTAACACTATATACAGTAAGTCACCAAGTAACACTATATACAGTAAGTTACCATGTAACACTATATACTGTAAGTCACCATGTAACACTATATACAGTAAGTCACCATGTAACACTATATACAGTAAGTCACCAAGTAACACTATGTACAGTAAGTCACCATGTAACACTATACACAGTAAGTCAACAAGTAACACTAGATACAGTAAGTCACCATGTAACACTATATACAGTAAGTCACAATGTAACACTATATACAGTAAGTTACCATGTAACACTATATACAGTAAGTCACCAAGTAACACTATACACAGTAAGTCACCATGTAACACTATATACAGTAAGTCACCAAGTAACACTATGTACAGTAAGTCACCATGTAACATTATACACAGTAAGTCACCAAGTAACACTATACACAGTAAGTCACAATGTAACATTATATACAGTAAGTCACCAAGTAACACTATATACAGTAAGTCACCAAGTAACACTATATACAGTAGTCACCAAGTAACACTATATACAGTAAGTCACCAAGTAACACTAGATACAGTAAGTCACCAAGTAACACTATACACAGTAAGTCAACAAGTAACACTAGATACAGTAAGTCACCATGTAACACTATATACAGTAAGTCACCAAGTAACACTATATACAGTAAGTCACCATGTAACACTATATATAGTAAGTCACCAAGTAACACTATATACAGTAAGTCACCATGTAACACTATATACAGTAAGTCACCAAGTAACACTATATACAGTAAGTCACCAAGTAACACTATATACAGTAGTCACCAAGTAACACTATATACAGTGAGTCACCAAGTAACACTAAATACAGTAAGTCACCATGTAACACTATATACAGTAAGTCACCATGTAACACTATATACAGTGAGTCACCATGTAACACTATATACAGTAAGTCACCATGTAACACTATACAGTAAGTCACCATGTAACACTATATACAGTAAGTCACCAAGTAACACTATATGCAGTAAGTCACCAAGTAACACTATATACAGTAAGTCACCAAGTAACACTATGTACAGTAAGTCACCATGTAACATTATACACAGTAAGTCACCAAGTAACACTATACACAGCAAGTCACCATATAACATTATACACAGTAAGTCAACAAGTAACACTATACACAGTAAGTCACCATGTAACATTATACACAGTAAGTCACCAAGTAACACTATACACAGTAAGTCACCATATAACATTATACACAGTAAGTCACCAAGTAACACTATACACAGTAAGTCACCATGTAACATTATACACAGTAAGTCACCAAGTAACACTATGTACAGTAAGTCACCATGTAACATTACACACAGTAAGTCACCAAGTAACACTATGTACAGTAAGTCACCATGTAACATTACACACAGTAAGTCACCAAGTAACACTCCATGTACAATAAGTCTTGCCTTTGCTCTCTCCCCAGTATATGCGTGTCCGGCCGTGATGAGTTTTGATCCCACTTGGCCGTCGACCACAGTGATACAGATGACTGCCAGTCGCTCCGTCGGGGCTATTGTTAGTTATACCTGTACCGACGGCTTGATAGAGGGTAATGCCACAGTGGGGTATAGCACCACAGGAAGCGCCAAATGCCTACCCAAAACCTTAACCTGGAGTATGATACCAGTCCTACCCTGCAATTGTAAGTGACTTCTGATCTCTTCTGTAAATAGAACAAATCTGAAGGCTAAGTTGTAAATCTCTGAAAGAATTTGTTATATAGAAGCTCAAAATTTAATACTGTTTTGTTGTTATACGCTTCTTGCGTAAGTAAAACGTGATTTCTTCAAAGATATAATTTGATGTTGAAAACTTTTAGAACTGGTTACTTGAAGAGAATAAATCTTATGCCTCTGTTCCATAAATTCTCTCTCCTCACCCCCTTCCCAGGAGTATGGGGCTAAAACCCTGCGGGACATAACCCACCAAGGATAAATAGCCCACTGGACAAAACAAAAAGGACAAAACTCCCATGAAGAAACCTAATATTTAATTTAACCTAATTTAAACCTAACGAACCTGCTCTAACCCAACTTAACCCCAACTGACCTAACCTAACCATTCTTTATTTATGTAGCCTAACCTAGTCTAAACTAGCTTATCTAAATCAAACCTAACTTAAACGAGCTTAGGGTGCTCTGTCCTACTTTGTACTTCTACAGTAGGTCTTTATTCCGGGTTGGGGTTGGTTTTGCCTGCTAGTGTATAATCCTAAGGGAGTTTGGTCTTAGGGCTTTGGTCTGAATCCCTCCCCCCCCCATTCTAAATCTACCAATCCCAATTTAAAGAACGATATGTCCTTTCCACTTCAGATCAGCTTATGCTGGCCCAGAAGGTGGAGTAGATATGTGCTCATATTTTCTCAAAGTTAACATTCCTGCAAATATTATTTTGTAAGCCAGGGTAATCACCAGTATAGCCATCTTGGCAAAATTGGATAAATATTCATTACACATATACCAAACTACTAAAATTTACCTGAAGGAAGTACATACTCTGATACAAAGATTTAATTATTATAAAGTTATTATCGACAATCTGTAAACAACTTAGAGGTGCTTATACAAACTAATCTCAGTGGTGTTCTTACATACTAAACTTAGTGGTGCTCATACAAACTAATCTCAGTGGTGCTCATGCAAACTAATCTCAGGGATGCTCATACATACTAATATCAGTGGTGCTCATACATACTAATCTCAGTGGTGCTCATACATACTAATCTCAGTGGTGCTTATACATACTAATCTCAGTGGTGCTCATACATACTAATCTCAGTGGTGCTCATACATACTAATGTCAGTGGTGCTCATACATACTAATCTCAGTGGTGTTCATACATACTAATCTCAGTGGTGCTCATACATACTAATCTCAGTGGTGCTCATACATACTAATCTCAGTGGTGCTCATACATACTAATCTCATTGGTGCTCATACATACTAATCTCAGTGGTGCTCATACATACTAATCTCAGTGGTGCTCATACATACTAATCTCATTGGTGCTCATTACATACTAATCTCATTGGTGCTCATACATACTAATCTCAGTGGTGCTCATACATACTAATCTCATTGGTGCTCATACTAATCTCATTGGTGCTCATACATACTAATCTCAGTGGTGCTCATACATACTAATCTCAGTGGTGCTCATACATATTAATCTCAGTGGTGCTCATACATACTAATCTCAGTGGTGCTCATACATACTAATCTCATTGGTGCTCATACATACTAATCTCATTGGTGCTCATACATACTAATCTCAGTGGTGCTCATACATACTAATCTCATTGGTGCTCATACATACTAATCTCATTGGTGCTCATGCATACTAATCTCAGTGGTGCTCATACATACTAATCTCAGTGGTGCTCATACATACTAATCTCAGTGGTGCTCATACATACTAATCTCAGTGGTGCTCATACATACTAATCTCAGTGGTGCTCATACATACTAATCTCAGTGGTGCTCATACATACTAATCTCATTGGTGCTCATACATACTAATCTCATTGGTGCTCATACATACTAATCTCAGTGGTGCTCATACATACTAATCTCATTGGTGCTCATACATACTAATCTCATTGGTGCTCATACATACTAATCTTAGTGGTGCTCATACATACTAATCTCAGTGGTGCTCATACATACTAATCTCAGTGGTGCTCATACATACTAATCTCAGTGGTGCTCATACATACTAATCTCATTGGTGCTCATACATACTAATCTCATTGGTGCTCATACATACTAATCTCAGTGGTGCTCATACATACTAATCTCATTGGTGCTCATACATACTAATCTCAGTGGTGCTCATACATACTAATCTCAGTGGTGCTCATACATACTAATCTCAGTGGTGCTCATACATACTAATCTCAGTGGTGCTCATACATACTAATCTCATTGGTGCTCATACATACTAATATCATTGGTGCTCATACATACTAATCTCAGTGGTGCTCATACATACTAATCGAGGTGCCTCTTCTATGGCTCTTTCTTCGAAGATGTCACAAATTAAAAGTACACTGGAGAACAAGTTTTCAAGTAATAACTTGATAACAGAGCGAGATGCTGTCCCAATTTGTTCTGCAATGTTAGTTATCTTCACTGTTGTTGTGAGTTCGCTGTTTGTATCCACGACAAAAATGCCTCAGTTAGTATTACCCTGAGTAACTTTAAACATAAGTTAGATAAATGGTGAAATTGGTGGGTATGATAATCTGCCTGGCTTAGGTCAGTAGACCTTCTGCAGTGCTTCACTTTTCTTATGTTTTATGCAAAATAAGCCACTGGGGGATGGCTTAAGGTCATACACACTATTACCAGCGCATCGACAAGAGTTATGCAATGATACAATAGTTAAAGGAAGTAGAAATTCCCAGAGGTAAGTAGATGTGGTGCGTTCCATATCCCGATTGTGAAAAGAGGCATCATATAGCGCCCACCACATCTATTATTTCTGAGAATCTCCAATTCATATACTTAATGCATCATTGCATAGCTCCTGATGAAGCACTGGTGACAGTACAAAATGCCTCGAGCTATTGTTTCCATCCCCTACTAGCTGGCTATGCATTTAATGATCACTTGACTGAGATTATTTTGCATTCCTACGTTATCATATGTTTCAGTGGTGTGTCCTGTGGGCTACACGATGATAAACGACACTTGCGTCTATGCCTCTTCGCAGGTTCCTGAGCTTGGTCTCGTCAGCGCCTCCCTAGAGTAAGTCTTTTTATAATTACTAATATATATATAACGGGAAGTGTCAAGCCCGCAGGGTTAATACAATGCTTGGGAATGAGAGGTAATCAGATTTAATGTAAAGAATGGGAGGATAACTCCCGTTTCTTGGATTAAGAGCTCTTCAGTGGCATCTTAAAGGGTCAAGTAAGTGCTACCCCGATTTTTGTAACAGCAGTGCTGCTTTGATGTCGGGGCTGCAAACAGCTGAACATTGCTTACTTATTCCAGGGGTCTTGTAAAGTAAATGATTCCTTGGGTGTTAATTTATCAGTGTGGAAACTTAAACGAGGCTCAGACATCAACATACCATAAAAGAAATTAAAGCCGCCAATTAAATTCACACTGGGGAAGGCATTGGAAGATATACTCCCATATCTAGATGTGTTTTTGCTAACTAGGAGAGAAAGTTACTGAAGAAGTATATGACGAGCTAACAAATAAAGACGCGCTCGTGCACTGTTATCCTAGTTAACACAACAGATGAAACGTAGAGTAGCAATTGGAGGGTGATGTGTCAGGGTCTGAATCTTGTCTTCCTGAGATAAATGTTCGTAAATAAATTATCTTGTTTTCCCGGATTGTAAGCAGAGTTAATATCTCTACTGGCGGTCAGAATTAATGTAGATGAGAAGGAAGTAGGTAAGACCATGCTTATTAAAGTTGCTTGTGTACTCGGACTTGGGAAACATGTGCTGGCTTCTGCTGGCTGTCCAGAGTTGTGTGGTATCCGTAGCCTAGTGGTCTAAGGTGTCAGAGCGCAACTTTCTTTCTAAATGGAGGGTAAGGTGCCTAGGATCGAATCCTGGGTTGGCCTGAAAAATATGCTTGCAAATTCGCTTATTTTCAAGGAATGTGTGTGTGTGTGTGTGTGTGTGTGTGTGTGTGTGTGTGTGTGTGTGTGTGTTTGTGTGTGTGTGTGTGTGTGTGTGTGTGTGTGTGTGTGTGTTTGTGTGTGTGTGTGAGAGAGAGAGAAGTTGTTGGTATATCTTCTCATATTTTATAACCAGAACACAAATTGAACAAGATATTACGTGACGTCAAAACACAAATGGAGAGACAAATAATAACGGGTTCAACTCATGGAGCGAGCTACCTTCCAGCACATGGAAAGCCAACCAGTCATAAGGAATGGTTTACCGTGGATTCGAACACTGCCCATTCCCTGACTTTGGAGAAACGGTGTCGTGATTTTCACGAGTCACTGACAACAACGTGGAAGAAACTAGCTAAATGTCACCCCTGTCGTGCTGGTCTGAGAGGCTTCCTTAAAAACTTACACATGTGGTCAACACAGTACAAAGAGGTAGTAGATCCAGCTGGCTGTTGATGAAAATGGTAAAAAATGCCAACAAGTTGAAGACTAAGACACATGTGCAGCAGTTGGGTAGCTTTATTTCGCCTACACAGTAGGCTTCTTCAGTCAAATACAAAGGGAGCAGAAGAAATGAAATAAAGATGATGTAATCAATCCATCAACCTTGGAGAAAAAGTATTTGAGGTGGTCAGTCCCCATGCTTAATAATATCCAGCCAGCTGACTGAACATTACTAAATCTGCATATTTACAGTTAATTCTGAAAAGGGAATATTGCCCAACATTCTTGAATTAGACTACTAAGTGTGACCCTTTAAATATACTTTCAATTTAAATATTGCCAAAACTTTAATGTATTTCATACTGCATTGCAGGTTATCATTATAAATTTGTAAAGGATGTATGTTCTTTACAAAACTTTATATTATTCATTCTAACAAATTTATTCAGTTCTAATTATTTTAATTAATACTTTTATATAATATTTGTGTAATTATAGTAATTTATATTATTGAACTTCTCGTGCCTGTTAGTGGTAAGAAATTACAGGTATAAAATAACAGGTAAGGTTCTAAGAAGCAAGATCCCTAACCACCTAGATACCCATCAGTTACACAACCCAGGGCAACACGGGTTTAGAGCAGGTCGCTCCTGCCTGTCCCAGCTACTGGACCACTATGACAAGGTCCTGGATGCTGTAAAGGATAAACAAAATGTAAATGTAGTATACACAGACTATGCGAAAGCCTTCGACAAGTGTGACCATGGTGTAATAGCGCACAAAATGCGTGATAAAGGAATAACAGGAAAAGTTGGTAGATGGATCTATAACTTCCTGACAAACAGAACACAAAGAGTAATAGTAAACAGAGTAAAGTCTGAGGCGGCTACAGTGAAAAGCTCTGATCCACAAGGCACAGTACTCGCTCCCATCGTATTCCACATCCTCATATCTGACATAGAGATGTAAGCCATAGCTCCGTGTCTTCCTTTGAAGATGACACCCGAATTGTCATGACAGTGTCCTCGATCGAAGACACTGCAAGACGCCCAGCGGACATTAACCAAATCTTCAAATGGGCCACTCGCCTTCAAAGACCACAACAATGTATCGACCGTATCTGCTAGAAAAATGAGGGCTAGGAACGCCAAGCCCATGATGATTCTCTTTAAATCGCTTGTTCTCTCTCGGCTGGATACTGTTGTACACTAACTGCCCCCTTCAAGGCAGGCGAAATTGCTGACATGGAGAGTGTACAAAGAACTTTCACGGTACACATAAGTACGATAAAGCACCTAAATTACTGGTAACGGTTGAAGTCCCTTGATAAAGATACATGAGAAAGATACATGATAATTTACAGTTAGAAAATCTTAGAGGGATTAGTACCAACATTCCCCCAATGAAAAGCAGGGGTGCCACGAGTGCACTGAGAGACAACACAGTAAGTGTCAGGGGCCCAAGACTGCTCATCTGCCTCCCAGCATACATAAGGGGGGATTACCAGTAGACCCCTGGCTGTCTTCAAGAAGGCAATGGACAGTCACCTAAAGTCAGTACCTGACCAAGCGGGCTGTGGTTCATACATCAGTTTGCGTGCGGTCAGCAGTAACAGCCTGGCTGACCAGACCCTGATCCATCACGAGGCCTGGTCTCAGACCGAGCCGCGGGGGCGTTGACCCCCGAAACCCTCTCCAGGTATACTCCAGATATAAAATAACAGGTAGTAGGTATAAAATAATGGGTAATAGATATAAAATAATTAACAGTTAAAAATGACAGGTAACAGGTATAAAATAACGGGCAACAGGTGTGAAATTAAACAGAACTGGTATAAAAAAAGCAAGCAACAAGTGTCAAATACATAACAGGTGTAACATAACAGATAATAGGTGTACAATAACAGATAACAGGTGTGGAATAGGTAATAGGTGTGAAATAACAGATTACAGGTAAGTAACAGATAACAGTTATGAAATATCAGGTAACAGGTATGAAATAACAGGTATCAGGTGTGAAATAAGACATAACAGGTGTGAAATTGTAAGTAATAAGTGCCAAATAAGCGATAACAGGTATGAAATTGCAAGTTAACAGGTGTGAAATAACTTCTAATGTGAAATAAAAGGTAACAGGTGTGAAATAAAAGGTAACAGGCGTGAAATAATAGATAACAGGTGTGAAATAAGATATGAAATAAGCAAAATGTGAAATAACAGTTAATAGGTGTTAAATAACAAATAACAGGTGTGGAATAACTGATAACAAGTGTGAAACATCGTAGTAACGTGTTTGTTCGCTTGGCAGATGTCACCAGTCAAACAGTTCGCTAATCAACGTAACGAGTGTGGATCAGCTGAGCGTAGCAACACCTGGTACCTTCTACTATACCGCTCACATCTAGTACGTACATCATCCCATTAAGTATGCTCAGGAAGTACAGCAGTCATGTACAGTCAAACGTACAGTCATTATGTAAATCACCATGATGCAGGATCATCCTCTAACATACGCTGATATTGATGCTATATCAAGTGATGTAGGGACATCCTCAACATTCATCAGTATTAATTCCTACATCATTTGATTTGGGGACATCATCTTCATATACTATATTGACTATATTTTTAATTTCCTCAGTAAATGTCTTTAACTTCCATTCAATTTCTTCTCTAAGATATAAAATTTCCTCCAAGGAATTGAAACCGTCCTCTTTTTCCTTGAATCATCAGACCTGTCTGCCTCGTTGTTCTAAATTGTTGTATGATGCTTATAGGGCTTGTGCATCCCCATATAATAATAATAATAATAATAATAATAATAATAATAATAATAATAATAATATATAAAACGTTACTCAATCTTTCCTTCTTAGTTCATAGAAATTGTTTCTTTGCCGAAGTCTCTTAGATGAAAAATAATGAAAAACAAATAAATAACAAAATTAGACGTTTAACAATCACAAGTATTTGCATGTGATTAAGGATTGTCTAAGTCATGTCAGCTGAAGTTTGTGGATCCGATGATTTACTTTCTGCAGTATCGAGGATAAGGCACGCGTTGTGTAACAAGACTTGACTGTAACAACGTTTCGCTCTCTTAGAGCTCTGTCAAGCTATAATTAAGCTCTATCAGAGAAAACCGTTGTCCTAATGAAAGCTGGTTTTGTTTCGTGTCTCGAATTCAGAGTTGTCGACGCGTGGACACACTGCCGAGTAAGGCAATAGAGGCTAAGACTTTGGGGAGTTGTAAAAAGAGATTGGACAAATATAAAGTGGGAGGGGCTGGGTTTGATAAGTGTGTGGAGTACTATAGTAAATTCTTCCGTAGCTTTGGGAAAAGGCTGGACAAATACATGAGTGGGTTTGATAAGGACCTGCTTTGTGTGGGCCAGAAGGCCTGCTGTAGTGTTCCTCCAGTCATATGTTCTTTTGAAAATTAAACACGTACAACATTTGTACACGTGTCTAGTTCTCATCTTGTCGGTGTTTTATACCATTTATGTACAACTTATGTTCTTATGTTACCGACACGTTATCCCAATAAAGACTTTTGCACATTTTTTTTCACTTTCATGCACAAGCAACAGGAAGACATTCCCATATCGCTACAATGTTGGGGTGAAGAGCCTGAACTCTGCCACAGAACAGCGACATCTCCTTTGAGATCATCAGACGGATCATCTTAGGATTAAGACCCGTTTCAGGACGCAGTTCCTGACGAATCGATCAAATCACTCAAACCTGGTACACACGTCACACACCCTGACACATAACACACCCTGACACATAACACACCCTGACACAACACACCCTGACACATAACACACCCTGACACATAACACACCCTGACACATAACACACCCTGACACATAACACACCCTGACACATAACACACCCTGACACATAACACACCCTGACACATAACACACCCTGACACGTCACACACCCTGACACATAACACACCCTGACACATAACACACCCTGACACGTCACACACCCTGACACATAACACACCCTGACACATAACACACCCTGACACGTCACACACCCTGACACGTCACACACCCTGACACATAACACTCAACACGTCACTGGACTAACAAAATATAACTGCTTGAAATAAAGAGACTAATCAAAAAGAAATATAAGTAATAAAGACAAAGATGAATATATAAATATTTTGGTTCTGCCTAATACGGGCCAGTAGGCCTCGTGTATTGCTTTCCTTTTCTCTTATGTTTATATGTTTTAATCTGTAATTATTGCAGTACAAGCTCGGCAGGCTTTGTTTCGCAACCTCCTGCGTTCACCTGTGCTGTTGGAGAGACCTGTGCGGTAAGTACTGGGTAACGCACTAGTGTACAATAGTTGAGGTGGTGGTGGTGGAGTGACCTGTATCGAGTCACGGACCAGTATTAGTGCTTTTGTAGAGAATGGTATCGGGTTCCGGACCTGTCTTCATTATTGGTGGTGCTGAAGTGTAGGAAAGTTTAAAGCTGTCCTTTAACAGTGCCACTGTAGAGGTTGTCACTGTAAGCTTTATTTGTTTTACGATGGGTTACAGGATCACCGAAAGGTTATCATCCGTCATCAACACATTAATTAGAAATGATGTATTCTTTCTCCGTAAACAAACTAAGCCGCTCTGACACGTCGCAGATACCCAAAAAGATTCGTCTATGTTGACGGTTTTGAGGGGACTTGAGCTAGAGTTCGTCACGGCCACGCTAGCTGGAGATTCGTCTGTAAAAACTTGCATTTGTGGTCACAGAGGTGCCTGTGCTAACCTTCCTATGGTGTAGAAATATACGTAGTTGGGTGAATCTTATTGTGGCTAGCTGGTCCAGTGGCTAACGCGTCGGTCTGGAGTTTTGAGACTCTGACCGCGGGTTCAAACCCCACCCGTGGTATGGTTTGATACATCTATGAAATCACTGTAACATTATTTATCATAAGATGAAAATGTCCACTGCAAAAAAGAAAAAAAAATCATATTTACCCCGTAGTTAAAGTACGATCTATATCGACTGTTGTTCTTAAAGAACAACCATCACATGAACAAGATCTTACATCCGTGCTAGTAGTGCTTAAACTAGATAAAAATTTGAAATAGGTATTCTACCTCTTAACGTTTTCTGTTACAGTGTTTATCAAGTATAACATCTTAAGGCCATAATTCTGAATTACATGGTAGGTAAATTAGTCACGTTTGTGATTAAATGAAGGCATTAAAACTTTTGATAGAATGCATAGCTTTGCTGTCTCGCTTAACGTTTCGATCAGTGAAAGCTTAAAATCTTTATTAGACAACGTTTCGCTCAAGAATAGTTTTTTTTTTCAAGCCAAGTTCACTTCAGTAAGTAATTTTTAATTAATTTATTTTTGATGTTAATGTACAGGTGAACTGCAGCCTTATTGACCGACGTGTAGATGAGAGCCATGAAACACATAAAATTGACTAAATAAATATATGTCTATAAAGTAATTATTACATTGTAATGCTGAGAGTAATATAATCAAGATACGAAGATATGTGAATATACAAATGAGAAAAGAGCATTGACATATGGCTGTTGTTTACAGGGAGGACTCGGTTTGGAATGTCTAGCTATGACCGTCAGTGGTAACCAGATTGTGGCCAGATCACAGAACTGCTACAGGAATGACACCTTCGCCCTCTGTGCAGTACCAGGTGAGCAACTGCAAAACCATACAGTATCTTACTAGTAATTATTGTGTACTGCAATTATTATTGTTTTTTGCTTAACACACACACACGTACGTACGTTCTTGCGTGTGTGCGTACGTACACTGTACCTATCCATGTGCTGGCTTGGACATTAAGTCGCACAGTATTTAAGCATTCTTCTTCACCTGAGAACAGAGTACAATACTTCTAGGCCAGTGCCAGACATCAATGCCCGTACTCATGAGTGTATGTATGCTATCGTGTCTCATCACAAGCATATTTCCGGGGGTTTGGACACTATCATTTCCCTTGCAAAGATAAATAACTGCATATCAGAGTCTGCCGCTGCGCGACTTCTGACTTTTTAATCTAAGTAAACTAGTTTTATGTTCTTGCTCATAGAAAAATGGTTCAGTGGTAACATGGTGGTATCACTGCGATGTTCTGATCACAGTGGTAACATGGTGGTATCACTGCGATGTTCTGGTCACAGTGTAACATGGTGGTATCACTGCGATGTTCTGATCACAGTGGTAACATGGTGGTATCACTGCGATGTTCTGATCACAGTGGTAACATGGTGGTATCACTGCGATGTTCTGATCACAGTGGTAACATGGTGGTATCACTGCGATGTTCTGATCACAGTGGTAACATGGTGGTATCACTGAACGTGAAACCTAAACGCGTGAAAATTGAACGAGAGTTTTCGATGCTTTTCAAGTTCTACTCTATTTAATTAAGTTTCTCTAAAGTCCTCTAAAATAAATTTTTTTTTTCAAGAATATTCAATTCGCAAATTGGCCAACTGGCACACACAAAGCCTAAATTAAATACAAAAATAATTCCAATAAGGATAGACCAGCAATTAGTGTTGTAGACGGGAAGCGGTAAGTGACATTAAGTAACATTAAGTGACATTAAGTAACATTAAGTGACATTAAGTGGCTTTACTTGTTTAGGTTTGTTGCAAGAGAGTTTTTTTTTGTATAGTGATAATCGTATATTACTCAATAGAACTAAGTGAACGCATGGTGTTTACAACACTGAGTTGGTTTAGACTGTGTGTGCTATATCCGTAGTGTGTTGCAGTGTCAGACAGGATGGTATTAACCTTGGTAATAAATACTGACAACTTGTCGGTATTTATTACCAAGGTTTATGCCACAACACTGAGTACACACACATGTCCTATTAATATTTCAACGTTGCACATTCATTTCTCTTTGTCAACTCTGTGTTGAGGTTATGTGACGCTGGTTGCTTCCAGACTACTGTCCAAATAACTTCACGGCGTACCGTGGTCTGTGCTACAAGGTTGTGTCGCAGTACAACCCCATCTACAGCTTCTCTAGCGCTCTCTCCTACTGTAACAGCCTCGGGGCAGCGCTGGCATACCCGGAAACACTCGATGTTATCGACTTCTTGGTAGAATTTGTGAGGGTAAGGGGAAATATGAATTTATTTCACTAGGAATAGTATGTTTTGTTTACTGAGAATGAAGAGTAATGATGGGTGTGTGTGTGAACTTTATATGTGATCGCAGGATTCCTTTACATTTGTTTGCCTCTGTGTACTAGCTGATATTTACCTGTAGTGTGTGTGTGTGTGTGTGTGTGTGTGTGTGTGTGTGTGTGTGTGTGTGTGTGTGTGTGTGGAGAGAGAGAGAGAGAGAGAGAGAGAGAGAGAGAGAGAGAGAGAGAGAGAGAGAGAGAAATTACCCATTTGTAGCTGAAGTAGCAGTTATGCGCGTGGTTTCTCGTCTTCAGTATTCTATTTATCACACAAGTAAAAAAAAAATGGTTGCGGCACTTAATAATTCCTCCTTTAAATCATTCCGTTGTTCAAACATTATTTGAAAAGGAAACTTTTGTACCATCCTTTCCACTCTAATTTTTCCTCAATTTATAACTGCGTCCTCTTGTTACCCCTGTTGCAGGTATATAGAAATCTCTGTCTACCCTTTCCAGTCTTTTCAAGACTTAGTATGTGCTTATCTTGTCTTCTCTCTCCCTACTATCAGTCAACATGGGAATCTTTAATGTTTTTAACCTGTGGTCATAAATCATATTACTCGAGTTTGGCAGTAATTTTGCGATTCTTAACTGAACGTTTCCTAACTTATCTGTGTTTTTTCAGGTGCAGACACCACACACCCGATGCAT